TGCCCGGGCGAGGCGCCGCGGGGAGGAGGGAGCAGGAGGGGAGGGAGCAGGGCCGGGGATCCCTGCGCGCGTCCACCCTTCCTCACACCCATGTCACTCTGCTTTTTTGATAAAAATCTGAAAGGAGAGAGGGCTGGGATCAGAGAGAAGCTGTGGGGAGGGGTGGGGAGCCCCAGGCCCAGAGCAGGGCAGGGCCATCCCTCTGCTGACAAAGCCTGTCTCACCTCGCTCAAGATGATCCACACCGGGGAGTCAGTCTGGATGGACAGCCTGATGGCCTCCAGTGGCCCAAAGGACGGGTCCACCTCACCCTCCGCAACGCCCTTGGAGAAGGAGCCTGGTGGGGACAGCACACGGGTGACATGAGGACGGTACCCTGGCAACCAGCGCCCCCCTCTCCCCCCCACCCTGAGGGGACCACGAGCGGCCATGGTAGCCCCCTGCCCACAGCTCCCCGGCACGAAAGAGGCTGAAAACCAGCAGCACTGGACATCAATACAGTGCAAAATGCTACTGAGGGAAACAAAAAAAAACCAAACAACCAAACCAAACCAAAAAAAACCCCAACTCAGCTAAACAAAACACAATGGGGACTATTTGGCTACATATCACTGCTGTGCAAAAGGCAGGGACAGAGTGACCTGATGGCAGCACTGTCCTACAAGAAACAAATGTTGGTTCAGGATCCATGCCGTGGAGGCGTCTCATACCCATAGTGCTAGCAAGGTCTCATCCTGCTGCTATGGCCCATTTTTGGGTGTGATTTTTTTTTTCTGGAAAATGCAGCTGGGAGAAACCAGACAGCATGTAGAAGAATGCTAAAATGGCAAAAAGCTACGTGTGCCAGGGAATTTTTATTTGTCTATTTAAAAAAAAAAAATAGTCTTAGCAGGGACACCAGGGCTTTACCGTGCATCAGTTGGTCCCCATAGACTGCAATCACTTGTTCTTGTCCAAGGGCAGAACAAGCACTAAAACAACCTCAGGTGTCAGAAGACAAAGTCCAAGCTGCACATGGTGTGAGTACAAAGACAGGCTGCAGAGGGAGAGCGTGAAATGGCCCACAGTGGAGGTTTTTAAGACCAGGTTAGGCAAATGAATCATTTGAATAATTTGTTCCCAGCTCTAAGCAGAGACAGGCAGAAACGTAGGACTGAACACTGCCTGAAGAGGACACCTAGTCTAAGAGGGGAGGGAGGGCAGTGGAAGAGAGGAGACAGTGACAATTAAATCCTGTTCCAACCTGGCTCCTGGCAAGCAGAAATTACTTTTTGCCAAGCAAACAGCACTAAGGGTCTCGATTCACTTGAAGATGAGGATATGGGCTGTGTTTCCAAACCCAGTGGGCAGTTTACCACCCTGCACCCTGCTATACCTATCTGGATGTAGCCATCCGGCGTCCTGCGGTATTTGACAGCTGTCCCTCTTCCCTCCTGCAAGGCTTCCTTATCCGACTGCAGGCTCTGCAGGAAGGAGAGGAGCTCTGCACAAGGCCAGTGGCAAGAGCCACGCAAAAGCCCCAAACAACAGCAGCAACCCCAGCGCTGCCCTCGCCAGCAGCATCTTGTCACCCCTGCCCGGCACCCTGAGCCTCATGCCCCAAAACAAGAGGACATTTGCTGCCCTCACGCTGCTGCTTTCACTGCACCATCCTGGCTCCATCCCCTCCTACTGTAGCCATCCCATCCATCTGAGCATCCCCTCTGCAGGCATGGATGGTTCCCAGAGCGACTGCTCAGCGCAACATCCCCGCTCCCAAGGTGGTACCACACCAGGCGTGACCCCCTGGCTCCTAGCCAGCGCCTCTCAAAGGCAATGAGCTTGTAAAGATTTTCCTGACTGCTTAAAGCAGTTCTCTTCTCTCAAACCTCTCTTGCTTCCCACTCCACCCCCGATTCAATTCTCAATAAAACACTTACGTCAAACGGCAAAACCTCCACAGTCGTATTGAAGAGTTTGTCTTCTGGGTGCTCAATGTTCCCGCTGCGGAAGAAGAACCTGTGACAGAGACCAAAGCCATGGAAACCCACACTGAGCGAGGGGGAGAAAGGATGGCTTTCACCCCAGCTGAACCATCAAACAGCTCAACCTAACAGGCACCTTCCCAAAAAGCCCACGGGTGCATGGTTTGGAAGGAGAACTTCTGCACCAGCTTAGCTAAAGTGTTCACAAGTCACAAGCGCAGGAAAGCAAAGGGCTCTTGCAAATGTGGCCCCACCAAAAAAGGGTCAAGTTATCCTCCCCCTGGAAGAGCACTGCTCCCTCCTCCTGGGCAGCCAAACAGGAGACAGGCAAGAAATTCAACATGAGCCAGAAGAGCAAAAGGAAAGTGTCTCCATGTGCTCCAGGCCGTCCCCACCTTCTCCCCTGCCAACCCTCCCCAGGCACTGGCCTCTCAATGCGGAGTGGTTTGAAGAATCTGAATCTGATGAAGTCTCCGGCGGTGGGAGTGAAGGCCCAGAAGAAGTCCTCCCGCAGGTAAGCCTTCTCCAAGGTGAAGTGCTGGTAGGTTTTCAGGCTGGTGCTCACCTCCGCAGGAGGGTTGACGTGCTCTTTCCGCAGGGCCTGCTTGCCAAAGTCCTTGTCCTTGTCGGGCACAAAGCAAAAGGGCAGAAAAGGGTCATGAGCGGCTCTCACCCATGAGGAACAGGGCACTGCAAATTAAAAGCTCTCGACTTGCATAGTGCAGAAAGGTAAGGGATGGACATGATCTGAGGAAGGCAACAGACAGGACAATGGGTGGCTGGATCCCAGGAGGACACAACTTCAGGAGAGGCAGCACAGAGAAGCACCACTGCTCTGCATTCTGATCCAGCACCAAAGATCACCATTGTCCAAGTGTCCCTGAACACGTGTCTCTGCCCCAGGAGCTCTGCAAACAGTCCTTACACCTGAGAAGGTGGCTGGCAGGCTGATGATAGCATAAAATGACAGGATTACACAGCCTGACAGGCACTGTGCTGCAATACAAACAGATTACACCATCCATTTACCTGGGGATTGGACAGACACAGGCCTGAGCACAGCCCAGGGATGCATGTCTTTGCGTCCTGCACATACACCCGTGGGAAACTTTATTTTGCTGATGTTTAAATACACACAAACAATTTAAGCTTTTACACAGCAAGCTCTAGTTCGTCTATCAGCAAATCCCAGGAAGAAGGAGGGGGGTGGGAAGGAAGTCAGACCGACCCAGGAGTCATCTTGCCAGGGTTTTTCAGTAGATGCTTTGAAATCACTTGCCCAGATCATGGTTTGGCACTCAGGATGGGTGACCAGGACCACTACTAAGGCTTAAAAGCTTGCAGCGATTCTTGATACATGTCACTGCCATGCTGACAAGTAGGAGTTACACAAGCTCACTGTAATTCAGAATAAAACACAACCACTGCACAGAAATCCAGCTGCCACCGTCCCAACAGTTGCTGTCACTGACATCCCCACCCCAAAAGCAGCCAGTTCCTGGGTGCCTGCAGGCCAGGCCTGGCAGAAAGGCTGTCTGCTGCTTGGACAGGCAGCTTGTACCTACCTTCAGCTTCTGTATCTTCCCAGCCAAGGAGGAGTGGGTTCCCACATGCTGGAAGAGGGAGGGCTTGAAGCGGATCCTCAAGTTTGCCTTCTGCCTGTCACAGTGTTTCTGAAACGACAATCCCACAGTGCCCCATGCTTAAACCTCCATGGTCAACTGTGCCCTGCGAGAGGAACAGACAGGGGCACGAGGAGTGATAAACATCCCTGCCCATCTCTATGCCTTTCTGAGTTATTTTGGCTTTAATTTGGCAAGAGGGCTTTTAACCGCACTCTGAAGGAACTTGACCGTGACTCCCAGCTGGTCACCCACCGGGCTCTGCTGGGCAGCCAGGGTGCCCAGGTTTAAGTGTCAAATGTTTCTTTGCCACGCATAGCTTAGCAAATGCTGAGCAAATCTCTGGGTGCTGTCAGGTCAGGACAGCCAGATAATTTTGTTTCTTTTTTCCTTGGCTTATCAGGCTTATCCAAGGCTTATCCTTGGCCTTTTTCCTACAATTCAGAGCTCGGGATCACCGATGTCAGAAGGTACAGTAAGTCCTGGGATGATTCAGAGCCTAAGCAAGCAGGTAGGAATTGTGGGCTCTTTTCAGACAGGCAGAGTTTTTCAGTTTGTTGGCAGATTTTGTTAGGCTGATGCATGGCACGTGCCATTGTCTGAGCTGTTTGACTGTTTCACACTCATCCCGCCATGTAAATAAATGTGGAGATGAAACTCTGATCCAGCCAGTGATTTTCCATGGGGTGGAAGGAGAGAGGTGATGGAGAAGGAATACGAAACACAGAGTTAAACAACTGAGGGAGAGGGCATTTGTCTTCCAAATTTTGCTTTCTCCAAGACAAGAAACACACACATGCCCCTACCACCATCTGCTCTCACAACCTCCCACCCAAGAGCAACCCCGGCAGAAATCCCACTGCTGGGTGCTGCGTCACCGGCTGCCTGGCACCAGGCAGGGGGCATCGGGGAAAGCCAGCCACACTGAGCCCCCACAATGGGCTGCCCACGCAGGCCACTGACACCATGCCGAGAGCTGGGAAATTCCAGGCGTGACCCCTGTGAGCTGCAGAGGAGATAATCCCCTAATCCAGCTCACGTTACATTAGAAAATTAAAACTAGTCTTTATAGTGGGAGAGACCCTACGCATTGCCAGCAACCCCAGGCGCAACCCCAGCAGGTCTGATATCACTCTGGATGGGGAGGGGAGGAGGAAGGGGAATGGAGGGAGCTAGAGCATCTCCTGATTTCTCTTCCCCCCCTTTTCCCCTTCTGCTGAAGAAGCATTTGCTTAAAGCAGCGTTGTCTCATCCAAGCCAGGAGGGGGAATGGCTCAGTTGGTGGTAAGAAGGTCATCCTTTCACAAAGCTCTACCCCAGGTAAATCTAAAATTAGTTAAAAAAGAAAGAGCAGAATATATCCAGAGCAGGCAAAGCACTTACCAAAAGCTCAGGTCAAACAAACTTTCAATCAAAAAGACAAATCCTCCCCGCTACCAATTTGATTTTGCACAGTGGGATTTACAAGGGAAAGTCATGTTTGAAAGGGCACTGTGCAGAGTTAATCATGCAAACAGTGAGGGAAAGGAGCCAGAAATCCACACGGAAAGTAGGTTAATTTTTAAAAAGGCAACACATTTAAGAGGTTTGCAGTTTCCCCTGGGAAAACCTTGGCTCTGCCAGGTAGGAGAAGATGAGCGAAGATGAGCTAAGGAGAAGATGATCCTGCGCAGCAGGATCTGCATTTAATCAGTGCTCAGGCTGAAGATTTTGAAGCGGGGAGCACAGACACAGAGCATCGTTCCCAGTTCCATCCCAACATCCCCCACCCTGGCTTTGCCCATGGCTGTGAGGACCCTGGGGGCTGCCAGACAGGGCTGGGGACTGCTCTGTCACACCTGAGCACACGGTTTGAACTGACAGGAGGACACGATGGACATCACCTGAGACTGGTGCATGCAGGACTGGAGCCGACGTCACAGCCTCTGCCACAGATCAGGCCAAATTAAACCACATCCTTGCCCCAATTCTGCAGAGCCCTGAGGATGCCCTGTCCCCGCAACGCACAAATACATTATTTATCCCCAGAGTGACCACTTGCTTTGGCATTTACCACTACAAAGTAGTTGTGGCCATGAGGTCTGGTCTAAGAAACTGGCTTCAAGCTCTGCGCGGGGACTCCGCTGCTCATTCTCTGCCAGGAAAGGAGGGCGAATGAGCATATGAGTAAATACAGTATGTTCAGAGAGGAGACAGGAGAGTATCTGGTGGTGAGCTCATTTTACATTTGCTATCACACACGCTCCGCCTCTGCCCTTCCCACTCGCTGTAGCCCCTTGCTGCTGCTGCCGCCACCGATGGGAGTTCAAACACAACCTCCGCGGGGCACGGGGACTTCTGTGCTGCTGTCTGCAAGGCTTCATGCAGACATGGCTCCGCAAATGAGATGGCAGCGTGAAAACAGAGCCCATTTCACCTCTCTGCACCCTCCTAGAAACCTCAACAAGAGCTTTGCATGCTCTGGCTTCATTTTGGCACACTATGCATGGCGGGCTTGCTCTTGGGTCATCTGGGGTGAGCTCTCTGGGCAGCCTGCATGTGTGCTCCAGGCGGGTATGGCACATGAGCCAGAGCCAAAGGGTTATTCTGGGGTTACAGTCAGCGAGTGGGGAACGGCTTCAGGGGGAGAAGCACACCGGAGTGAAAAATAACACAGAAGAACGGTGAACAGCTACTCTCCTCGAGGACTGGAGGAGGAATACCCTGTTAGTGCTTAGATGCAGAAATAATGCCTTTTCTGGCAGCTGCAGACTACAAAAGCCTGAAGTCCCAGGTCTTTGCTTACACAATCTGCACGGACACCCCGCGGCACACTCCACAGGGACAGCATGGTTCAGTGCAAAGTCAGTTAGCACCAGAGCTCACAGGAAAGATCCTCTGGAGACACAGACCAAGCGTACATTTGCTCACACACAACAGAAGGTTTCCCTTCAACAGCGGTTGTTTACGTACTGCATCTTTCTCAGGGTTGCAGACTTTCACCCAAAGGATGTGATCCAGCAGCCAGTCAATGGGTTTGTCCTTATAGAACATTAGGATGAACTCCACGAAAGAAAGAGAGAAGAGAGAGCAGCTATGGTATGAAGTGATCAAGAATCAGAGCTGGGAAGAAAAAAACTTGGGAGACCGGGCTGTGGAGGTTGGATGTGTCCATCTCTCTACGTAAAGGAAATAGCATACAGCTCTGTTTTATGTACCAGTACTGCTGGCATTGCTAATCCAGTTCTGGATTTAATATTCATCGCAGAATTAGAAAGCATTAGTGTCTCACAGGTCACAACAGTATCAAAAGGTCTAAAACTCTTCCATTCAGTAGGGAGAAATAAGGATGAAAAACATTCAGCCAGCTGCAGGACAGACCATTTCCTGCCCCCAAAACTACAAGTTTTAAGCTAGTCAAACCAGTATCCAAAATAACAGATCAAGCTCCTACTGCAACCATGTACTGCTGTTCCCAAAATAGTTCTGTGCTGATGTAAACTTCCTTTTGCACACTCTTAGGCAACTCCAGATCCCATCCAGCCTAAAAGCTACTGGTCACATCTATGCTGTTCGGCTGTCGGCTGGGCCACTGACCAGGTTTATTTTTATTAAAAGTGAGTATCACCAGTACCAGCTGTGAGGATCTTTCTCCCCAGTGCAAACACAAGGGTCATTGCAAAATTAGGGAGGGATCAAGTCCAAGTGTTTTACCATCTCACGGGGACAACTCGTTGGACCAAGACCAGAAGTGCTGGCAAGAACCAGCAGGCACTTGTGCCCATGTCTGATGGGACTGGGGTGAGCAGGGGAGAACATTACCAATAAACCCCAGCTGAGAAAACTCCAGGATCATCCACTCCTCAGAGGGCTGCTGCAAGGCAAAGTTCTTCATCGTGCTGAGATAGTTTGGTTTGGCCACAATATCGTCCTCCAGCTGCAAGAGGAAAGGACACTCAGTGCCAATGACCCATCCAGGTTCCAGTAAGAGCCTCTCTTTGCAGAGCAATCACGCCATAGACTGGAGGAAAACTTTGGCATAGACCTAGTTTATTTTGGAAGATGACCCAAGCAGATTTTTCCTCTCCCAATCTAACAGGTAAACGAAACAAGGATTCCTGCCCTCCCTATGTGGGAGGTCTCCAAGACTAAAGCATCTTAGAAACCCAGATTTTGAACCGGTACGGTTAAAACCCGCTCCTGCTTTGCTGCATCACACAACTGGACATGCTCTTTGCCCTCTCTCAGCTGGGTACGAGCCACAGTGAACTCACAGGTACACCCATCTCCCTTCTGCCCCCAGCACCAAACCCACCTGCACGTAATATATGCCTTTGGACTGGGCATACATCATTAAAAAGCAGTAGTCGAGGTTCTGCTTCGTCCTCCACCTGCAAGAGACAAACACGATGGGAGCACCTGAGATACTGGACTGCTCAGGGGAGCCACCCAAGGCTGGGTTTAAGCCAGGAAGGTGACACAGCTCTTGGAGGAGGGGATGGCATACAGCCTTTTGGTCTCAAATTGGTCATCTAAGAGTTACTGGAAAACTCAGGGACCTCCAAAATGAACATCATCTGGCTTAAAATGACCCCCTCGCTTGGTGATGGAAATGCTGCAGCACAAGGCAAGCTGGCACCAGTTCATACCCCTCCACACACCACATCCTTCCAGCTCTTGGCTAAAGCAAGTTCAAGGGCCTTGCCTGGCCCTGCAGAAGATCTTTCCTTGCTGGAGTCAGGGAGGGCGATACTGCAGTTATTTAATTCAGGCCTTGCTTGTTTTTAAGCTCATTGATTCTTACCTGACTCTTTCCTTGGGGTCCCCAAAGGATTCCCGCAGGTGGGAGAAATCAGGATAGAAATGCGGAGACGGGGAAATTACCTCCAGGAGACCTGAGTGTATTTCCTTTGGGAATCTGAGGGAGAAAAGCAGCAGTAAACAAATACCTCCATGTCTAACACACCATTTCATAGACCAAATTGCTGAGTAAACACTGAGCCGCAGAACCAAACAAAAAATACAGCCTCGAAGATAAAACTTCCCCAGCAGCTCCTGCACTTCCAGGCCCCACCAAAGGACATCAGCTCTCTCCCTCCCATGGTCACTAACAGCTCCACATTTGCGTGCTCCCCCCCCCTGCCCAGCACCCCTCCTCCCTCCCGCACACACACACGGATCAGCTTTAAAGGCCAGCCACGAGCACCATGTCCTCTTTACAGGCTTAAACAGACCTGCAGACTGGCGCACCAAAGGAAGGACTCACTGGAATTACCGGCATTTAGGGATTTTTGCAAATGCATCAGTAATTAAAAGCCATTTTGCAGAGATTATGTTATGCATTTCTGATATGTTACTTAATCTGACACTGATAAAATCAGCATATATTTTCCCTATAATGTGGTTATGAACTCAAACTCAAACAGAAAGAAATGTCACCCATCTGAAAAATAGGTACCCTACAACAGCCTTGCAAGCAATACCCAGCGATTACTGTAACTGTGAGAGATAAGCGGGAAAACCAGTTATTTTTATACTGCCTTTTTGAGAACATTTGGTGCAAGGCTGATTTCCTTTGTTTGTGCAGAGTCTGGAGGACGGGAGATGGGGCAGAGGGAGACAAAGCAGCGAGATTGCCAAAAAGTTCTCACTTGTTTTTCCCTTCCTTATTCCCTCCTTGGGACTGGCAATATTTTCAGCTAACATTTTTAAATCTTCCCTTCCTCAGGCAGCAGTGAAACAGAAGCTTCTCACCGAGCTGACAAAACCTGCACCGAAGCAGCGGCAGCTTTCTCCCTCCTGCGATATGAGCTCAGCCTGCCCTGGCCCCACACCACCTCAATTCAATTTGGAAGAAAAATAATTTCAGTGAATCAGGGAAGGGCAGGAGGCACTGGAGAGGGGGACAGCGAGAAATCAAATCATTAAGTCAATTAAAGTTTCAGGCCTTCTATGCAGAAGCACTCTCTGCAGCAGCACCCAGTAATTTCATCAGGATCCATCGGACAATCAGTCCATTATCCCCCGATAAGTGCGTCCTCCTGCCAGCAGGCAGAAGGAGGGGAGCTCTGCCAGCTCCTGCACAGCAAGATGGAGGGCTCTGTTTCAGCTCTTCTGCAAGTGCCCAGGAACACAACCCTCCCCGCACACGTCCCAGCCCCTCTCCCATCATTGGCTCGGGGACACGGGGTGCCGGGAGGATGTGCTGCCCTTTTGCATCTCCTTCTTATGGCAACTGCGATCCTTTGGAAACACACAATCGCAGGAGCTGGACGGGAGTCACAGCCTCTTCTCTCACCACCTTTTCCTTTTGGCTCCAAGCTCTGATGCTGTTAACGCCTGGACCGGCTCACGGTTAATAATCCGTCACCGGCTTCTGCCAAAACAGCCACAGATGAAGCTGCAAAAGCCACTAAGACTCCGGGACATAAATAGCAGCTAGTGTGAGAGACAAACGTAACGAGCGCCTAGAACAAGGGAAAAACAAACAGGCTGGAGCAGGGAGGAAAACGGATCACGGGTTTTAAAGCAAAATAAGGCAGGACCATTTGGGTGTGCTTACCACACTGCCCAGTTGCTCTGACTCCGCAGAGCAGGTAGAGGGCTGCACTAGACACAGAAACAATTGCCAGGATCACTGGAAATCTAAAATAATCCATCTTCTCACAATGCCACAGGACAGAAAGAGCAAAATGAAACGGCATGACCGCGTGTGTTAAATACTGCAAGCACAAAGCAGGCCAATGGAAGCTACATATGGGATGCATTTTAGAACAAGCAGAAAGTGGAAGCGGCAGTACCAAAGACAGCCCAGAGTTTAAGAACAGAAAAGAACCCAAACAACCAAAAAAATACAAAAGGGAAGCATAGAGTTGTGTATTTTCTCCCTAATGAAGCCGTTCCCTGGCCTCGCGACAGGCACAGACCGTACCACTGTAGTCATTTGGAAGTGCTTACAAGTTTTTGATATTTTCTGCCACTCCAGCTGTGTACTGCGGATCTGTCTGAAAACAAAAGATAAGCAGGGTTAGATCCTTCAGCCCAGTCTGTGTCCCCCATGGCTCAGAAATTACCTTCAACACACCCTGGGGGTACTCTCAGCATCTCCGTACCATCTCCATGTCTCCTCTTACCTAGTTTAACCGCTCTCCCCGTGCTGACTGACCCCTAGGAGCCCTCCTTTGTGGCCAGTGTTAACCAAAGGCATCACACACCAAAAACCACCCCAAAGGACGCAAGACCCTGCACATCTTCCCCACGTGTTCTCCTGGCACTTCTGCCCCTGCCAGTGCCAAGCATTTGCACCAAGTGTTAACTTCTGAGCTATTTATTTTTTTTCTCTATACGTGCTGGCTTTCATCCAAGCGAATGCTCTCGGCAGAAAAGGATTTCCACCCCTTTTGTGAAAAAGAGAGGTTTATTTATAAGCATGCATTTTTCATTTCAGGTTCATTTTGACGCTTTTCTTCCTAAAACAACAGTTTGTTCCCACAATCAACCTGGCAACCTGTAACAGTTAGGAGGCAAAGGTCAGCAGCGCCGCACGCCGCTATCTGCAGGAGAGATAAGTGCAAACACGGGGGCAGGCACTGGACAGAAACCATCTGCACAGTGACCGGGAAAACAAAATCCAAGCACAAAGGGCAGGAGACGGAGGAGCAAAAACTGTCCCTGTTTCCTGGTGGTGGTATTGTTCTGGGAGGTTGTACGGATCACGGGACCGCGTGTCCTGGGCAGATCTGCAGACACAGCATCACAGAAGCCGGGACTGGTTGCTGCTGCGCTTGGCACCGGGCGGAGGTGAGAAGTGAGACACTGGGGATGTATGTCACAAACTGAGGACACCGTTTCCATGCTGGAACGGTGACAAGAGAGGGTTTTCTCAAGAGGAGAAAGGTCCCTTTTCCCAAACAGGGCTCAGGCTCCCAGTGCTGGACTGATTTCTTATCCTGGTGCTGCCAAGAAAACAGCAATGGGAAAAACAAAGGCAGGAAAGATGCTCCTGGCTTTGGGAGCAAACATGCAGCTCCACTCCAGGAACCCGGCTGTCGCCAAAACGGTGGCTGGTGACAGCCAAGCCAGTCAGCTCGCCCTAGGGCTCCCCTCTGCCAGCCGAGGAGCCCACGGCTCTCCCAGTCAGCCCAGCCGCTGTAGATGACACCTGCGGTGGTTAGCGGCGGCACTTGGAAATGAGAAGTCCAAATCCCAAAAAGGACATTGAGCTGTTCCACTCGTCATCCTGCATCTCTAAATTACCCAGTGTCTGCTCCAGGTTCATCCCACCTCTCCACTCTTTACTCTTTATCCCATGCCTGAAAAGCCCTAACAAGCAACACCAAGTGCAGGTACATGGAGAAATGCTTTGTCTGGCAAGAGGCAGAGCAGGCACAGGGGGGGTTGACACTTGCACGGAAGGAGGACGTTGTGTCAGCAAGAAAGAACAGTGACAGTGGTGATCTGCAACAACCACCATCGCTCTTACTGGGCTACGGCATGCGTGCTCCTGCACTTCATGGTATCAGAATTAATTTCTTTGTTGTTCATTTCTCTCATCACAGGAGCACACGGAAAGTCAGGTGCTGCCATCAGAGTGTGCACCCTATTTTCAAGTCAAGTAAAAAAAAAAAAATGACTGCAGTCCTAAACAGAAGATGGTTTTGGTGAAGTTACTTAAAACCTCTCATGCTCACTTACTCACTGTGAAAACAGCCACCAAACCTGTCCTGGCTCAAAGGGAAATCACGGCCAGGACCAAACCTTGTCCCTGGCATTTTAGGCTGCACCCATCTGTGCACAACTTCTCTTCATATGAAATAACAGCCAGAGATCCAAAAGCCAAATGCTACTCAAAATGTCAAATTACGGGTAAATAGGCAGCAAACCCAGACATTTATCTTTGTTCCACTCCCAGTAACATGCCACTGAGGTTTATCTTTCTCACCGGATTTCTGGAAATTAAGACAAATGCACTTCAAGCTCAAGAAAATAATCCTGAGGGGAAAGCCATGGAGAAAAATAACCATCTAAACCCATAGATAAAAGCGGCTCTTGCGGATTAATGTATCAAGGCTTTTTAGTCCCTGGATTCAGCAACTGATTCTGGGCTCTAGACACCAGGACGAAGAGGCATCGTATTAGCCTCAGCCACAAATCAGCAGGCTCTTAGGTTTGAAGAGGGGGTTAGTGCTGTCTTACAGGTACGCAGAGAAATGAAGCTGTTTCAGGAGCAGGTCTGAGAGCTCCCCCAGCTGTGGCCATGGGGCTGTTCCAGCACATTTTGGGAACAACCACTCAAGCACCCTGCAAGAGCCTCCACAATTTAGACCAGAAAGACAAACGCACGTGCTGCACTGGCAGCTGTTAATGTTTGCCTGCTTGCATCCTGACTCTCTCTGGCCCAATCGGGGTTTCATTTTGGGCAGGACGCACCTAATGATCTTGATCGGATGGCAGCCCAAGGCTGGGCTTATCTGCCCCAGCAAGCAGCAGAGCTGGCCTCCAGGTGGGCAGCTGTCGGGTTTGGCACTGAGTTTGGCAGACAGCGGGATGGGATGGGATGGGGGCCAAGGAAAAGGGATAAAGAGGCAAAGCTCTGTCTTACCTCGGCAATGAGGACGACGATGACGGAGTCTTCCTTCTCCTGCTGAGTGAGCTCTGAGATGAGGGAGTTGAGGGTGTCGGTGAGGTAGGAATGCACCTCCCGCTTCACACTGGGGATTCCCATCACAACGGATACTGCCCAGGGCCAAGGAGAGATTTTAGAGAGGAGGGTGTGCTGGGACACGACACTTTGCTCATCTCCCATGACCGCCTCATGGTTCACCTGCTCAGTGCCACGCTCCGTCATTAAAAACCAGCAGTGATCAGCAGGTTGGTGGGTTCCTGGGCTATGTAGGGTTCCCATACTCCTGTCCCCCAGCCCAGTACTGACCAGCAGCACCTCAGTGCGCCAGGCTAGCAGGGCACCCATGGCAATCAGATAAGACTCTTTCTTTTCTCCCTGAAAAACTGATGCCTAAGGAAACACCCAAAGAACCTCCCCCTCCTGCTTTTCAGCCTGAGATCGTCAACTTCAAGACCACCCTGGCTCTCCAAGCCCCTCCCGTGGCCAGAAGCACCTCAGTTTAGGAGCAATAAGTAAGGTCTTTGGCTTTGGGTTGGGATTTGGGAGCAAGGGGGAATCATCTAGTACTCAAAGTCCTACTCCAGATGGGATTTGTCTCCTAAGACTGGTTAGAATCTCCATGAAGCACCCTGCAAACTGTGCTTTCATCTGACCACCTTCCAGGCAAAGTCTAGAGCACTCTGGAAATGGAAAGCAGCAAAAAATATTTGGCAGAAGCACTGAGAACATTTTAGTGCCAGTCAAAAGCACAGACAGCACTCCCCTGTAGACTTGCAGACGTGACATGGCTTACCCACCCCGCATGCCACGATACCAAGGAAGCTTGCATGATGCATGCAGCTGTTCCTCCAGTCCTGCTCATCTGCGTACCACAGCCAGGCCCAGAGGAAAGGGGAGGGACAGGCACTAAGGTGAGGAAGAGCACCAGAAGCAGCACTAATTCCCATTTACCTCCAGTGCGCCCCTGTCCCACATGCACGGCTGGCTGCAGACTGTTCTCCTTTGACAGCAAATGTGGCAAATGATGGAAGATGGTGGGAAGGTGCAGCACATTCTTGTTGGTGATATTCCACAGTTTTAACTTGGTTTCGTCTTAAAAAGGAAAAGGGAATCAATTGCAAGGAATGATAGGTAGGAAGAGACTGCAAGGCAAAAAGCCTTTTTAGAGCAGCCTGGCCACCCGAGACTACTGCTGGGTTATAAAAAATCAGGCCAACCTTTAACATGCTACCACAAACCCCATTAAAGTTCA